TAACAACTCTGATGATTTTTTTTTAACTTTTTTTAATAAAAATCCTGATGATTCAGTAATATATCAAAATTTAAAAAGTGCTAGTGATAAATCAACTCAAGTGTATATTCCTGATTTACCATGTAATATTCTATGTGATATTGAAGAAAATATTATTGAAGATAGAAAACCAAAACTACCTGAAAAAATATTATTAGATACTATTGCCTCTAAACTTTATCCTGATGCATCATTTATAGATGATTATAGTTCTTTTAGTACTGAAATAATAGAAATGACTCATAAAAAATTCGATGGTACTGAAGTAAAATATGGTAAAACTGTTTATACAGATAAAAATATCGTAACAAATTCTTTAATTATGTTAAATAGATTTGGTCAAAAAATATCTGATGACCTTCCAAAAGCATTTAAATTGAGATTACATGATTTTTTTACTCAAATAGATATGAGTATAGTATTAAATACTGGCAAAGAAGGTGTATCAATTGACTTTGATAATAATAGAAATATATATGAACACCTGGTAATTTTATAGTAACATTATGTTTTTTAAATAGAAAAAAAAGAGGAGATCTTAACATGAAAGAAACTGAAGAAAATTTTGCTTTTATGAAAGATAACCTCGAACTTGGAGATATTTTTAAGAAAGGTAAACCAGATTTGATAATACTGATGATAATATGAGATCACGAATAAACCAAGATAACTGGGAATTTATACTTGCTCGTGATATACCTGTTAACATAGAGGAATTATCAAAAAATATTAAATCTGATAAACCATCATGGTATGATTTTAGTATAAAACTTCACCATAGTCATGTAAATACAAAACAAAAATCTGAATCACAAGGAATGCCATATGGTTTAAAAACTATAGATAAAGAAAAAAATTTAATAATTTACTGTTGTGATAAAGAACCTGTAACTAATTCCAAAGGAGAACAAAGTTATATTGTTAGATATCAACCAAATGTTATCTGGGTTTTGACTGTAACATTTGATCCTGATACAATGAGAAAAAATATAGAAAATAGCCTAAGATTACCAGATATAGAATATAATAATGATATAATATTCTTCAGAAAAGAACCTTCATTTCCAACACATCCTAGACCTTTTCTTCTTGTTAATAAGATCATACCTATCATGGCTTATGAAACTAACATGGATAGTACTGCAAATCTCAAACAAGCAAGTAGAACAGCATTGCAACAATTAGTAGAAGCTGTTAAAGAAGCTATGAAAAATCCTGATGTTGGTAGTAGTAATGATAGTAAAAATCTTTTCAGTATTTCTTTTGATCCTAGTCAACAAGCTTCTCCTGCTACATAACATAAAATTTAACTATAAATAGATTACATATAATTCTTTTATTGTATAAAAAAAAATGGATTTTTTATTTGATGGTAAAAATATTTTATCATATTACAATAAAAAAATAAATGAAAAAACAAAACTTGTTGATTTACAATCTGGTAGTAACTTATACAATCAAATACGAAATGATACAAGATTAGGACCTTGGCAGATTAAAGAATTAAATGATAACATCAAACAAATAGGAAATGAATTGATTGAAAATTTTATTTCTTATATTAAAAATGAAAATGATCAAGATAAAATCAAAAAATATATTAAATTACTAAAAAATATAAATATTTTTTTTGTAAAAAATAAAGAAGAATTTGATAAAAATCTTAATTTATTACAGGAAAAAATAAAAATAATAAATAATTCTAATATAAATTCAAAATTATTAAATGATAATATTTCTATCGTTTTTCATAAGAGAAAAAAAAATTGTATCAAATTAAAACCTATACATATTTTATTTAATTATTCGATTAAAAATTCTATAAAATTAATAATGAATAGATATAAAAAAATAGTTGAAACAAATAATGAAACATTTGATCATCTTGAAAAAAGAATATCATTTAATCTTAAAAAATATCAAGAAAGTTTCTATATCAAACCTTGGAAATCTATAATTCATCATAGTATACATAAAAAAAGAAATAATTCATATTATCTTAGAATTAAAAAGATAGATAAAGAATTTTTTTAGAAATAGTTGATTTATTACTATCAATCATAAGAAATGATGATATTACTCTTTTTGATTTATTACATTTAAAAATAGGTCTCATTTTCAATAATTTAACTATTTAAATATATAAACATGTCTTTTTTTACTTTAGAATTTAAATAAAATGTATTTTTATTTTTTATTCTTGTTATTAATACAAAATATTTCTTCTCAAACTTACACATGTATTCTATATAATACCAATGAAAACATTCTTCAATGTGTGAAATCAAATACTTATAATTACATACAAAAACATATTAATACAATAGAAAATCCGAATAATAATATTGGCAATATTGAATATTTTTATAAAATTGTAAATAATTCAAATAATAATAATATTCAAAATAATAATTATGATACATATCAAGATCCTAATTATAATAATAACCTTGATAATTTTTATGAAGAATATTGAATCAACATGTTATAAATATGTAATTTATGATGATCATACTAAAATAATCAAAGAATACAAATCAAAAAATTTATCAAATTATCAATACCCAGAAGCTAAAAATAATTTAAATAGACTTTTCAATATTATTTGGGATTATTACCTTTCAGAATATAAATTAATGTTATCACCAATTTATATTCATGGAGTTAACAAATATGGTGAATACGTAGATAGTCAAAACATTAAAAATGAAATATTCATTGAAAAAATATCATATGATAATTTTAAAATAATGTTAAAAAATGATCAAAAAAATATTATAGATTATTGCGAAGCAGGAAAATATGAAAAAATAATCAATGATCATGAACAATTAAAAAATATAATCTTGAATTACATATAATACGAAATAATATATGTAAAAAAATGAAAATAGGAATACATAACAAAGAATCTTTTTTTACTAAATTCATAAAAAATAATAAAAATTCAAATTTCTTAATATATAAAGGATTTGTATATAATTCTTTAAGAGATGAAAATATCATAAATGAATTAGGTGAAGAAAAAATTATAGATTAAGAAAAAAATCATTTAGAAACTTTAGAAAACCTAGCAATAAATTGGTTTGAATGGTGGAGATATTTACTAAATAATCCAAATTTAAATATTGTTAATATTTATTGGATATTTAAAAATGTTGAAGAGTTAAATGCAAAAACAAAAGATAAAAATTTTTACAAAATGATTGGATCTATGTTTATTGAGAATCTAATAAAATGTAATCAAGAACATAAAAATATATGCATACCTGAAATAATCCAAAAAATCGAATCTGAAATCGATTGTCAAACATTAACTACTGATGAATTATACAATTCTTTATTAAAAAATGAATATTTTATTAAATTGGTTAAACTCAGTATTAATGAAATAAGTGAAATACATTATCATATAACAAACCAAAAAAATAAATTAAAAAAATCATGTACTGCTGATTTCGTTATTGAAGATTTTTCAACAAATAATAGATTTGAAAATTTTTTAAAAGGTGGTATCTATGATCCTTTTTTCTAGAATGATTTAAAAATATTTGATAATGACAAAAAATTTATTGGAAATAAATGGATAGAAAACATGAACAGATTAATAAAATTAGAAGAAAAAATGAATATGAATCAATATATAGATAGATTACTGGATATATCACTTCTCTTAAAGAATAATCAACTTTATTTTTTAAAATCTCCTAATATATTCTCAGATTATTTAGAACTTGAAAAGGAATTACGTAAAAATTATATTGAAGATAATAGTCCTATCACGATTTTAATTAAATTATCAAATATATCAGATGATGCTAAAAAAAAATTTGAAAATTGAAGATTGGAAATATTACATAGTAAACCTATAGAACCTGAACTTAAACCTGAAATACCTAAACCAAAACTTCCATTAAAACAACCTGAAAAACCTGATGATTCTGAAGATATTTTATTCAACAAAATAAAAAAAGAAATAGAAGATATCGATAAAAATAATGCAGAAAAATTATCAGAAGATGAGGATTTAGATGAAGAAATAAAAAATTCAAAATTATCACCTGATAAGATCAACAAATTACAAGATTTGAGAAAAAACAGACTAAATAACTTTATAACTGAAAAAATTAATGAATTCAAAAATAAAATTAAATTATCAAAAACTGAAAAAGAATTAGATGATATATCTGATATATTAATTAGTGATAAAATACTATCAGATGAACAAAAAGATAATATCGTAATAATATTTAGAGAAAAATTAAAATCAATCAAAGAATCTGATAAATACAATGAATTCATTCGTGATATCAATGATTTATATACTGAAGATGATTTAAATCTTTTAAAAGATAAATTATCTTATGATCAAATATTAACACCCACACAAAAAGATAAAATCAAAAAAAGTATTGATGATAAAATAGATGAAATCAAGAAAACTGCACTTCAATCTAATCCTAATAAAAATATTCTTGTTGATGAATTAGAAAAAGATATAGAAAATATCAATAAAAATAATGCAGAAAAATTACTTGATGATAAAGATTTGGATAAAAAAATTAAAGATTCAAAATTATCACCTTCTAATAACAAAAAAATACAAGAATTAAGAAAAAACAAACTATTAGAGTTCAGAAATAAAATCAATGATGAATACATCAACAACATCAAAACAGAAAAAAATAAGAATATATTAGCAGATATAAATAATGATTTAACAAAAAATAAAATTCTAACAGATAAACAAATTAATAACATATCTTCATTAATAATCGAAAAGATAACAAAAATAAATGAAAACAATGAAATATATGATGAAATCAAAACAGATATCGATGGATTCTTGACTCCTGAAAATTTAGATAATTTTATCAAAAAAATATCAATGCCTTTGATGAAGAATATCTATCTAATAATAGAGATAAATCATCATTAAATAAATATTACACTGAAAAACGAGAAAAATTAATAAAAGAAATCACAGAAAAAGAAAATGAATTTTATTTAGAAATAATGACAGCTATAGAAGATTGTAAAGACTCAAATCTATTAACAGATGAATTTTACAATAGTATCTATCGTAATATTGAAGAATTAAATAAAAATTATCTCGATACTAGAAATAGTAAAAAATTTTTACATAAAATGAGAGAGGATAGAAGAAAAGTATTAGAACTTGAACAAGAAAATATATAAATATCTTGTTTATCTTGTATCATTATTCATAAATAAAAATAATGTATAAAAAAAGTGAATGGAAAAAATTCTTTAATGAAAAAAATATTTCTAAAACTGATGAAAGTAAATGGTTTTTTTCTGGTCTTAATATTGATCAATGCAAAATTGCAATTGATAATGGATGGGATAATTATCAAATAAAAATAAATGTATAAAATATCGTGAATTTAAAAAAATTAATGTTTTAGAAGTTAAAAAATCTGAATTAGATTCATCATTGGATATACTCGAAGATATACTTAATGATGATAAAACTACTTTTAAATCTTTACTTGAAGATTATCAAAAAATAAAAATAGATAACTTAAATGATAATTTTTTACCATGTAGTGCAAAACAAAATAATCTTAAAAAAGCAATATTAGATAAACGAAATACTTTTAGATACAAAATCAATGAACCTAATAATGAATTTGATAATGATGGTCTAGATCCAAATGAATATCAAAAAATATTAAAATCAATCACTGAAACTCAAAAAGTGATTTTTGATAATGGAAAAATAAAGTTACACCTAAATTCCTCAATGAATTTTTAAAAAATTTTTTAAAAAGAAAAGGTGATGAAAATCTTGAAGAAAAAAATCTTGATAAATAGTTGAAAGAAGAAGAAATTGAACCTGGAACAGATCAATTAATGGGATATATGATAAAAGATAAACCTAAAAAAATAATAAGAGTAGCTGAAATAATAAATAATAAATTCACTGGAAATATCAATCAAGAAATCTTGAAAAATGGAATAGATAGTTCTAATGTTATAGAAGAAGAAAAAAAACTTGACAAATCATTAGCTGGAGCATATTTATTACCTTATATTTTTAATCTGATAAATTTTGATTCAGATAAATTAAAAAATGATGATAGTAGTTACAATAAAGATTATTTTGCTAAAGTAAAAGATAGTGATGAAGGTAAAATACCTGATGTAGATGGTCCTGGAATTTTACCTATCTTAACTGGTGGAGGTAAAACAACTAAATTAGTAAGATGTTTATTAACATGTATATTTCTAGGAAAATATGTTATCTTGATTACAACAAATGAGGAATTAGCTGCAGATACAGAAAATCATCATAATACTTGGTTACAATATGCTAATGGCATTCCTTACAAATGTGTTATCCACAGAAAAGAAGGTGAATTACCTTATTCTGTTAAAAATAATGAACTCGCTTTATAGAATAGATTGATTAGATATAAGAAAAAAAAAGAAAAAGATAAAACTGGTAAAGAAACAGGTAAATTAATAGATAATAAAAGCAAACCAATATATGAAAAAAAATCTAGCATAGAACCAGGAAAATCAACATTATCAATATTACAATTTTATCATCTAGTAAGATAAATTGCATATGAAAAAGTAAATATCAATGAATTAAAAGATCTCCATAATAATCATGGAGAAAATTTTAATAAAGTAATAAAAGATATCAAAGAAAAATTGATTGATAAAGAAAATACTATCATCATTTTTGATGAAGCACATTTTTCAAATACTAGTTATCAAGTTGTACAACCATTAATTATCAGAATAGGATATAATATTTTATTAATATCAACCTCTAAACCTAGAAATGTTTATTCATTAACTAAATTTCATAATCAAACTGATTGGGAAAATGAAAAAACACAGATATTTTTCAGAACAACTGCAAATGAATACCTCAGAAAAACAACTAATGAAGAAGATAAAAATGCTAAACCATTACTGAAATCAGAATTGACACCAAAACAATTTGAAATGTTAGAAAAAAGTGATATACCATTTGTAATATTTGATAGCTTAAATTCTTCTGCAGTAACTGGTATAACAGAAGGAATGCCACCTGGTTCTCTCTTTATAGCAAATGTAAATCATGAAATGGGTTTTAGTCTAGCTATCGATAATGTAATATTAACTGGTTAAACACAATTACAAAAATTAGGAAAGGGTTTAGGTGTAGGTAGATGAATTTATAACAAATCTAAAATTCAGTTTTTATCTGTTGCTAGTATGATTTAACAAATTGGTCGTGTTGGTCGTCTTATACCTGGAAAAGCTTTCTTAACAACACAAAAATTAAAAGAATTAACACCCTCTAATGATATAGTGTATTATATAATAAGTGGTATAATACTTCCTAAAAAAGAAAAACTGATAAAAGAATTAAACTCACGAGGTTATCCATTTGCTACGACTAATGAAGATCATGAATATCAAAATTTGTTATGGGCATCTATAGCACTTCCTTACAAAAAAAATCATCCAATGGAAGCTGTAATAATTGGTATGATAGGAAAACCTAGAGGAACTGTTAGCAAAAGAGAAATTTGTTCAACATACGAAAATGAACCTGATCCAAACGTAAAAGATAATAATCTTTGGACTTTATATATAGATAGTAGGTTACCTCTACCTGAATTCGACATTGAAAACATAAAAAACATACAGATCTTGATTATTAAAACAAAATTAAGAGCTGTTGATCTTATTAATAATCCAGAAGTTTCAATAGAATCTAAAAATTCATTAATAAAAAAGTATGGGATCTACCACCTAGAAAAACTGATACTATACTCACTGATAAAAAAAGTAATATGATCAATGAGATAAAGGGAATAGTAAAAAGTGTATTAATAGAAAAAATAAATATCAACAGAATAAAATATAAACCTAAAGAAATAAATAATTATAAAAATTATATTGAATAGTTCAAATTTTTTAACAAAATGAAAATAGATATTCTCAGAAGAATTGTTGATAGTGAATTACAAAAAGATTATTCCATAACTATTAAAAACAAAGAGCAAACTACTAAAAAAACTATTAAAGATAAAAAATCTATATATCATAACAGAAAATATTTAGATAAAGATGGATTTCCAACAATGTTTAGATGTGAAAATTGTAATAGAATAATGAAACAAGTTTTTGATGTTATCAATAAGAATAATCAAAAATCAAGGTTTTGTGAAATTTGTATTCAAAATTCAAATATAATTACTTATATACCTAATATTGGATTTCAAACAAATTCTTAATAAACTTATCAATTATATTCATGTAAAAAAATGAAATTCTGTAAAAAATACTATTAAAATATTAAGATGAAAATAATTATCTTTTTATTATTTTTCTTATCATTTATACATCACACCAACTTGACAAAATATTTTTATTATTCTAAAATATTAATGATTAAACCATTTCCATCAAATCATATTAACATTAATTCAAAATCAAATAAAATTAAAGAATTAAATCTAATATTCAATTCCCTATCTCACGATATAAAAAAGATAAAATATAAAAATAATTTAGATATAAAAAAATATAATACTCTTAAAAATAATATTATAAAATACAAAATAAAAACAATATAAATATAAAATATACAAATAACATAGAATATATTAATAAAGAAATTAATAATAAAACTTGTCCTATTTTATTAATAAATGATGTTAAGAAAAAATATAAAATACAAAAAAAATATAAATTAATCATTTATTCAATTATAATAACAGAAAGTATCATATTAAAAATTTCAATAAAACTCATTCTTTCATTAATAAAATAAATATTTATTTAAACATGATTTTATATACTTGTATATCACAAACAACCTTTGATATTTTACCACTCAATTGTATAAACATGTATAATCCTAAAGATAATATTGAAATACCAATTTATAATAAAAATATATTTAATTCAAATAACAAATTCGATATATATAATTTCAGTATAATTGTATAGAAAATACTAAATAATAAACCTAATAAACCTTATAATAAAAACAAATATATTAATAAATTATACAATTCTATATTTAAATTAAATTATGAAGCTAATTTATCATCACATGATGATAATATACCCACAGAAAATATATCATTATTCGAATTATTAAAATCTCAGATTATTAATGAAATGGATAAAAATAAACTTTTAGATTTTGGTTATTATAATAAAATATTAAAACTAAATCAAGAAAAATTAGAATCAAAATATTTTGACATTCAAAACATTCATAAAAATCATTTAAAATATTTAGATATTTATAATATTATAGTCAATAATATTAATAATAAATGCACAATAGAACTTTTTTTATTAAAAAATTATATCACTAATCAAATAAATATTGATAATTTTCCTAATTATTTATTAATAAAACTAGAAAATAAAAAAAATGAAAAAATAATAAAATTAAACAAGATTTTTAATGATGTAAAAATCTTAATTGAAAAGGAAAAAATATCTAATAATTTAAAAGATAATAATGAAATTTATAATATTATCAAAAATAACAAATGTTTTAGTAATGAATCTAAAAAAAAATTACATACTATAAGAAATATCAGATATCAATATATTTTGGAATATGAAAATATATTAAAAGAAATGGAAAAAATATCTAACAAATATGAATTTAATAATTTCAATAGAAAAAAATAAGACAACTTCCTGATGATTTAAAAAATGAATTAAATAATTCATTAAAAAATAAAGAAAAATTTATAGCATTGTGTAATGAATTAATGGATATTAAAGAATGGGATAATAATTTATTAGATAAATTAAATAATCATTATAAAATATTAATTAATGATTTTTCTCTCAATATTGAAAGAAAAATACTAGAAAAAATGATAAATAATGAAATCACTCGAACATTAAAATTTTTAGAATATGAAAAAAAAATAAATGATGAAAAAATAATAGAAGAATTATTAAATACTCATCGAAATATATTAACACATAATATCAATAATGATATAATATTAAATCGAATAAAAAAAAATATCTTAATTAATATTATCATACCTAATAAAATAAAAAAATATATGAATGAATTATATGATAGACTATTAATCCTTATTAAAGAAAAAAGATTTTTTTCTACACAAAAAACAAACA